ATCGGCGATAATGAGCACACAAGCCGAGAAAACACTGCACTGCATTTTTGTTTTACAGAACATAGAGGTGGCAACTGCTGCAGTTTCGTCTGGGTCAGGCCAAACTTTATCTGCACTCACGACATGTCCCAGAAATTTCAGCTCATCGTAACTGAAATCGCACTTCTGGGGTTTTAGCACGAGTGCGGCTGAATGAATAGCTTCCAGAACCATTCTTAAGCGCTTCAAATGTTCTCCCAAACTCTCAGACAAGATAACCACATCATCAAGATGTACAAGGCAGCTTTGCCACTTCAAGCCAGCGAGAACAGTATCGATCATCCGCTGGAACGTTGCTGGGGCCGAACAGAGGTTGAGAGGAAGAACTCGGAATTCATAAAGCCTATCGAGAGTTGCAAATGCTGCCTTCTCTCAGTCTTGCCCATCGACCTCTATCTGCCAATAGCCGCTCTTCAAATCGATCGATGAAAAATACTTCGCGTGTCCCAGCTTGTCGAGAGAATCATCAACCCGTGGAAGTGGGTAAACGTCTTTCTTTGTGATGCTATTGAGCTTCCTGTAATCAATACAGAATTGCAGCGTTCAGTCTTTCTTCTTCGCTAGAATGACTGGCAAGGATCATGGGCTGCTGGACGGTTGTATCACACCATCGTCAATCATCTCCTTTACATGCGTCTGTTTAGCCTCGCGTTCTTTAGACGAGACACAGTAAGGTTCCTGGCGGATTGGGAGAACATCATCACCGGTAATAATTCGGTGCTTCATGAGGGGTGTTTGACCGACTCTAGATAAAGAGGCGAAGCACGATTGAAATTCCTTCAACAGGGTGTGAAGTGCGGCCTTCTTCTCGTCCAAAAGTTTCGAATTGATGTCGATGTTGTCCAGAAACTTGCCTTTATCAACCATTTCTCCGGATGCGAAGCACTCGGTGACATTCACTACACCGTCTCCAAAGGCACAGTGGTGCCGCGGAAAAGATGTCGGTGCTCGAAGTTGAAATTGGAGATGAGTATCTGCGACCGTCCGTCACGCAAACGTATAATGCTTCGCACAGCGCACACACCTTGAAGCAGCAAAAGAGATACATTGCTCTATGCGACTGCATCACCGTCTTGGAGGTCTTCACAGGTGACTTCTACAAAAGCAGTCGCTCGGGGAGGCAGCGTCACGCTTTCATCGGCAACACACAGCGCAGGTCTACGACAGCTATCTGAGCGTCGGTCGGTTGCACGTTGCGTCGAGAAAGTTACCATTCCCTTCCAGAGATTTATAATCGCGCCGTTCTCTCGAAGAAAGTCCATAACAGGGATGAGCTGACGAGAACAGTTGCGTAGTACAAGACAGGTGACCACAAATGTTGACTCGCGTATTTCCACTCTTGCGATACAGCGGCCCAATGGAGTAACATCGTGGCCTCCAGCTGTGCGAATGCGCGTCCCATTCCAAGGTGTCGTCACTTTCTTAAGATTGGTTGCCAATTTTTCGCTCATAATACAATAATCTGAACCTGTGTCCACCAATGCATTGACCTGAAGACCGTCAATCAGCACAGGAATGTCGAGAGGGACTCGGTCTCTGGGTTCAGACACAGAATCCGGCGTTTCTCTTGCACTGCACTCAGACGTCAATTCAATACCTGCAGCATTTTGTGCAAGCGTCGATGGTAGGTCTTCCGCACTTATCCCAGCGACCTCGCCCCCAAAGGTCGCTGCTTTCGGTTTTCCCGCCGAGGACTTGGGGAGCGTCCCCGTGCTGTCATACCGAAACGTGGCCCAATGGCTGCGGGTCGCCATGGAGATAGTGATCCCGATTGACACAGTGAGAAAGGTAGACGCTGCGAGAGGTAGTCCTCAATTTCTTTTGCCTCTGACCAATTAGTGGATGAAGTGAATGAATAGAAGAACCGTGCAGTCCAAGTTGTCGGTACGGGCATTCGCGGTATTTTTGGCCGGCTTCGCCGCAATGGAAGCAGAGGGGTCTTCTATCACATGTACGCTTGATACCAGACTTCCCCGTAGGAATACAGTGACCGTCGATGTCGAAACCAGCGTGCGCTGATTGAATTGCAAGTGGCGACATCGTCTGGATTGGGACTGCAGGGCTAGAGACCGGCATGGAAGTGCGCAAGACTTCGGCATATGTACGGTTCCGAACATCAGTGGACGCAGGAAGTGGCTCTAGATTGCTATCCATCAGTTCACAGCGACGGCTGTAAAGCACCTGCTGGACCTCGTCCTAGATAGTGCTGGTGATGCTGCTTACTTCCGGCTGTCTCACCCCATGTAGTTTGGCTATTCCCTCGTGGACAACAGAGCTAACTATTTTGCGAATCTATTCAATGCTGTCGCTCCCAAAGGTGGCAGAAAATTCAGGAGATGATGCAGCATTCACTTGCCGGTCGAATAGGGCAGACCTTTGATGAAGTACCTTTTCCATTGTAGTGGCTTCGGTTATAAACTCCGCTACACTCTTTAGAGGACTCCGCACTAGACCAGCAAAAAGCTGCTCCTTCACGCCTCGCATCAGATAGCGCAGCTTTTTTTCTTCTGGCATTGCCGGATCCGCTCACCTAAAAAGCCGCGTCATGTCTTCCACATACATGGTGACAGCCTCATTAGGCATTTGGATGCGTGAGTGCACTGCACGTTCAGCACTTTCGCGGCGGTAGGGGCTCCGATAGGTCTCCAAGAAGCGATGCTAGAACTGGCCCCAGGACGTCAAGACATCACCTCTGTTCATGAAGCACGTTCGGGCGCCGTCTTTTAAGCAGGCGTAGACGTTGCGGGGTTTGGCGGTTTCGTCCCAGTATTTGACCGCTGCGACATGTTCGAACTCGCTCAGCCAGTCGTCCGCATCCTCAAACAGCTCTTCATGAAAGGAACTAGGCATCAGCGGGTTCTGGACAGTGCAAGAGATCGGCGTAGACGAAGGAGTTTCCATGGCACCTTGAGGTGAAGTCATAGTCGCTCTGTCGACTAGCTGTTCCGCTGTCTCTGGTGGTAGGCCTTGTTGGGGGCAGCTTGTTCTGTGAACTGGCATGTTCACGGGCACAGGGTTTGCGTTTCGGCTCCTGGGCGGGCTCTTGTGCATGGGGTGTGTCGTAAGTCGTCGTACCGAGCAACTCCACCAATCTTGTCACGCTCAAGGTAACCTTGCGTAGTACTGCTCGTTGAGCTAGGCCAAACAACCGCTCAGTCAGAACTTCGTTCTCTTCTACACAGAAACACGAGAGACCATGCGGCAATATAGTGCATGCCGTCCACTTATCGCGGACAAGCAAGCATATATGCGCAGAGCTACCAAACAGCATGCGCGTGCCTGTCAATAGTGATAACTGGATGGTGCTCACTAAACCATCACGAAGGCTGCCCACTTTTCGGGTTTCATTTGACGCAGAGAGTACATCACTTGAGTGAAGATACGATGGTTGTTTAACTGAGCTGCACAGCACTCCATGCAGCAATCTGTGAAATAAATTTAAAAAGTCACAGTTTTGCCGGAAAGGCAAAGCATTGAGCACGATAGAAAAAAATTGAAAGGTCACGCGCAGAATCGAAAACAGATCCAAAAATGCCCCGCGTTCCTCACGCACAAATGACATACAAAACGTACTCACAGGTACGGATGCACGCGAATAAGTGTCTCATCTGTCACATTGCTGCGTCTGAAAAGCGCATGCTCGCAAACGGAGACTGCGATGATTGCAGTGACCTTTGTGCACCCGGTAACTACAGCAGAATCGTTACAGGTAAAGCCCGAGGCCAGCCAAAGCGTACGACCTTCCCCTCCTCGCCGCCACTAGATAAGGGAGCGTCGCTCCCCTTCTCTAAGCCAGGCAAAGTACGCGTAGGAGATTAGAGCGGGCACCCGCGATGTGGCAATGGGCGCTCATTGCGCCATCTTGCTGGTAATGCTGAAAAGACCATTCCACCCGAGATGCTCGTGAGCAGTGGTAAATGGTAGACATAAGTAGCTTGCCGTTTGAATGATGAAAGATGTGCTCCGGGTGGCTTAGTGGTTAACGCCTCACAACGCAGAAAACCCATGTTCGATTCTATGCACTGAAGTTTTTTTTTCTTGACTTCTTTTTTCTTTCTTGCGTTTTCATATATATAGATACGTATACATACACGGTGCATGACATCGACACTGACGCCTACGTTGACAAAATCCAGCCGAGAATGTCCATAAAATTGCTATGACAATAAAAAAAAAACAAGACTCTTACTGCTAGGCGTAACCTGGAGAAAATCGTGGCAAAGGCAACAATATCCATTTCAAACGAGAAATTGATGCAGACAGGCACCGCAGCCCATCTTCTTTTGTGAGAATCAGGTTTTCGCTATCTACCTGTTCTCCCTACCAGTTACCACTAGGCTCTGCCTTCATCCAAATTTTTCATTGAAGTGCCTTAATGCCAGTGCAACCACTTAGGGGGCGAGGACCCCTTTTAACTAGCCCTGCTTCAACATGAAAAACCATGTTGGAGCAAATGTGCCATGCGTAGTGGAGTGGCTAGCGTGGGGATGCTGTTGCAATGCGTGGGTGCCTCGTGCATATGTTTTTTCCACCTCAAACTTCTACAGGTATTTGCACCATGTTGTTCATGCCTGCTCGAAGAACACTCGCACCAAAATCGAGGTCTTGTTACTCTTTACCATATGCTGTAACAACAAACATAGTAAACCGACCTTTCCCTTGCCAGAACTCTTCTTACCTTCAAGTTTTTTTTTGTTTTTTTTTATAAAGTTCATTTGATAGTGTCCTCTTGTCTCCTCCCTAACTCATATTATGCAGCAACCAAGTCAGTATTTTAATCAAAAGCGAAATGTTACCAGCTTTGTTATGCTAATATTTAAGTACCAGCCAGGCTTTGCTAGGGAAGCTCAAAAATTAATAAGCAGGCCTTTTAGGTCTGCAGAAACTCAGCATGGTCAGCTAGAAGTTTCCTAGTGCAGGGAGCAGAGCACAAACTCGGGGTAAAGAAAAAAAAAACTTACAGAGATTGCCTGGCTTTTCTGCTTTTTCTTCCTGTAAGGAGGAAACGATGCCTATTTAAGAAACATTTATTCCAAACAAAGCCCAGGTGAATACAAAACAATCTGCTTAGGCAACAGCAGCCCTGAAGAAAAAATGAGCCAGAGAGTGTTATAGAAAAGCTGTTCAAAGACCACTTGAAAAATCCACAATCCTTTTCCTCAACAGAAAGGCAGCACATGTGCTGACATACTTAAAGGGACCCTGAAATAATTTTGGTAATTTGGTACAAACACGTTGGGCCGGTAGACCAAGTTCCAAGGGTTGCTTAAAACGCATTTGAGCCCTCTGCATAAACTGTGCAATTTATTACGATTTTTTAAAGCTACGAATAGCTGTACATCGGTGCAGAATGTTGCAGCTCGACCAAATGCGTTTTCAACCACCCATTCACAGAGCGACAGTGCTCTGGCCACTTGACGAGGCCAGAGCATGTCAGCAGCCACATCACCCTAGCTGCTGATCTGATTGGCTGCCACGGGCTGTAGAATGTGCGAAGTAAGATCGACTGGTAGGGTGGCGGCACCTGTAGAAACAGGTATTAACCATTCCACGATCTTCGTCTGTTGCCAGACGGCGCGCATGCTGCCAGAGTTGCCACTGGTGGCTACTTTTAGCCAAATTGGCGAGTTTGAGAAGCCGTGGTGACCTAGAACTATGAATGGCGACATGATGAACTTTTGGCAATTTTGGGCTTAGGTCTTAACTGGGTTATGCATTCTATACTCAGCGCCTATAAATGAATGGGCGACATTTTTTTCTAATTCTTTAAATTTTAGACCCACCACTAGAAGGCATACGCTACGCGCAGTTGAGTAAACCTTTCCTGTTTCTCTTGTGTATCTCTTCAATTCACCCAGATCCAGGAGGCACTGGTGTTCTGGTGTATCCACCAGCAACCTCCCAGCAAAATTTATGTCAGTGGACTGCTTTGCTTGCCACGAGTTGGTGGTGTCCCGACCATAACGCCAACTGTCTTGAATAGCTTGTCCACTTCTTCACTGTTGTAGTACCTTCTAATTTGGTATGTAGAGTTTAAAGTTTTTATTCACAGACTTTTCAGGCCAGTGAGAGAATCAGGTTCTTTAGGCAGCCATTAGGAACTACAGAAACTGCACTGAGGCAATGTGTAGGGTACGCATGACCGCACAGAAAGCGTGGTGTGAGCATTGCCGCAGGTCAGCGGTACTTACTAATTTATTTTAATTGATTTGTAATCAAGTGGCTTGATTATCAGACAAAACTTTTTACTGCGAAGAAATTCTTTCAGTTTTCAGGAAAGTTGTATACATCGTCCCTCTTTTGTTGTAGCAACTGCTTCTCCCTGTATTCACTACAACTGCAACCACCACAACTTTTCTTATGAGGCGATAGCATTCAGAAACACTCCTGGAACATGCGTGCCCTTTTTCTGTGCTTTCATGATGAAGCGGCTGATGTGACTGGCATTGAAAAGCGTCATTATAATCGAACATTTCTGGACAGTACGATACTGCACAGGGCTATACATAATTAGCAATGTTTATAACTAGACAAGCCCCACGTATGTAGAGTGACGACATTTTTGGTGAAATTTGAAGAAAAATGGTGACTTTAAGCGAATTCCACTCAAACGTCTGAGGCAACCCTGGACACTATGTGATATCCTCCAAGACTGCCCTGCACGTGTCGGTGTGACATTTCGAAGGTATAGACCCGTAAAAGCTCGAGTCGTGGAGAGCGCTCATGATAGCTCTACGATCGCCAGCGATGCCAGCGTGCCTCATGAGTTGAGAAGGCCAGGGAGAGGTGATAACGAATGATATAATCATCTGTAGTGCCCTTGATACAAGGTGTGGCGCTAAATTTGTGGTGCGAATGGTTTGATGATGCTTTAGGCTGAGAAAACATGAAAAAGCCGTTTCAGGGTTCCTCTAAACACACATGTCCATGGTTCACTGACATTCACACTTTTATCAGAGCCCTTTCTCGAATTTGCATTGCTCAAGATGTGGGGAGCAGCCACAGTCATGGCAGTGCACTGCTAGACACGTAGTGGCCATAGTCATGCGGCAAGTATAGTGTTGGACAAATGGGTGTGGGCCTTGAAGAGAAGCTTAAGCACCTTTTAAACAAAATGAAATTGGAGCTTGTAAGGATCACTTGATTCCCACAGAATTCATAGTTCTCAAAAGTGAATGCACATAACACTTTTTGGCAAAAAACAGGGGCTGTATCCGCAGGGCTTCCTGAGATGCTGGGCCAATGCAGTGGCATCATTCTTGGTATGCCTTGTAATCTGCAACACCAGCGCTGCTCAAGCATGGCCGCTTCGACTAGCTCCTGCAAGAGCACGTCACGAGTTAGCCATGGAGGCCATGGTTGAATATATGAGAGACGCTTGTTTACGTAGCACTCGGCTGTTTGTTCTTATTACAGATATCGTAATGCAGCTGCACAACTTTCAGCATCACTGTACTTCGTCACACGAACAGCACTCTCGCTGTTCAGAGCAGTGATCGGCGGGAACCTTCCGTCAGAGTGCAACATGGCTCTGCCACAGGAACTGAAGATGACGTTGCTTTCCCCACCCACAATTTCGGTGCACTTGCGTGGGTGGAGGAAGACAAACCTTTCTTGCATTTTCTAAAGCTCCTGCTGCAACAATCACAGAAAAAATTACGACATTATAAACAGTAACGTCGGTCCTTACTGACTACCAAGCTTGACTGAATTCTGTAACCTCTTCAGCTTCTCTTTAATATCCTTCATAAAAAGGACCAACAGAACCTGTCACCTACTGATGCACTGCCATAACTGTGGACGCTCCTGGAATTTTGGGGGATACACTGTCAAAGCCATGCATGGTGAGAAAATTGTTCACGAAATTTTAGAGGGAACCTAAATTCAATGGCTTGTTTGGTCTTATTGTGTTTGTCAGTAGGTATAAAGATTCACCATTTATATCTATATTTTTTCTTACTATCAGTTTGTGTATCATAAATGTGCTCGAGAATTAATATTTCTGACTGCACTGTCGCCGCTGCTTGTTTGTCCTTTTCAGCAACTTCTAGTCACAAGGCTCCTCTTTGCCTAATTTTCATCTAATCACCTTTCTATTGCTTTGATGTGTGCCACAAACTACCTTGCATTCAAAGTAATAAAATGGTTGTGAGTTGAGTGCTGTGTGTTTATTAGTATCAAATACTTTGAATGAAAAGTGTGTGTGTGCATGCACAGATAAACATACTTTATTTTTATGTACTATCCACACTTACTGCACAACCAGAACTGTTACTGCACTTGCAACCGGAAGTCAGCTTACATTATCCACTGCCTGATGTGGTGCTTGTCTCGCCTTTCTTCTGTTCACGGCCAAAGAGTGCACTGCCCCACCCCTCTTTCACTTTTGAATCTACTTCGACCGACAGGGCGTGGTCGCATGGGCTTCTCTCGATATGCTTTATAGTTTTCTAGATGTGCTCTCATCCCAAAGCTTGCATTGAAGCCATACAGATGGTCACTTAGCTGGTTGCAATTGCCGTAATTCCTAAGGAGTGAGTTGCTGGGCTTTATTCATATGGCATGCCAATTTTTTACACTGCACTTAAAGTTCTCCATATCTGCATGCATATGGTGTCTCCATATCTGCATGCAGGCTCTTGGTATTAGACCGACAGTTTCTGAGCTTTTTTTTTTTTCTTTCCAAAAATAGCGGGTAGGTGTGTTATGCAGGATCTGGCACTTCCGAGAGCAGGCGCTCTTCAATGCCACCACAGAGCATATGTTAATAGGACAGAATTCCTATTATAGTTCTATGAAATTCTTCCCATCAAATATTGTGTTTTAACACCGCAAGCTGTTATCAGATCACAACGGCAGGGGCAGTAAGTGGCTGTTCGCCACTGCCACCACCGATGTGCGTAACCACTCTCATGCGAAATAATAAAATGGGAATAAATTTTGCATACGTTGTCACTCTTATCATCACCAACCAAGCAGTTGCATCTTTTACAGCCCAGGTGAGGTTATACCTTTGAAAAGTTATACAAGCAACACTTCACATAGTTGTTCTTTCCTTAAAGGGGCCCTCCAACACTATTGAAGCACCTATTTTTTATTTGTGGTTTGGGTAGACTGATAGCTGGAGATAATTTTAGCATAGGTCTAAGCACTGATATCAAATGATTTAGTACATCAATCATGTAATAGAATCATTGCATCGCTACCGACAACATCACCCCGAAGTGGCGCTCACCAGAACTTCACGGGCGGAAATAACGCCAGAAGGTTGCCGCCATATGATTGCAAAATGTAACGTTAGAAGTAATTGTGGTGTAGGATTAAAACTGAGGTTACTAATCTGTTTCATTTTCTTTCTCTGTGTTTTTTCATCGAACCCTGAACAGATATGACCACAACAAAAAAAGAACACTGCGACTACAAAGCATGACAGCTGCCATTTTGCCCCTGGATTTTTGACTTGCGCGGGTCAGATGTCTATACGAAAGACCTCTAAGGACCTCTCTCCCTCTTTCTTCCTTCTTATTGCTTTTGGGAGCTTGCATGACATCTCTTTCCGCACAAGCACTGTTGAAGGGGTGCAGTGTACCATTGTTGTTTGTTCGGTGGCTTACCTGAACAATGCGCGAGGTGTCAACAGTACTTCACTGTCCTGGTCGTTCCACAAGTTCCTTTTTTAGAATGAAAGGAGGCAGTGACTCAGAATGCTGTAAAAAAAGCAGAAAATACCTCGCTTCGACACGCCAGCTCCAACTCACATTCTGGCAAGCCATGCGTCAAGCACCACGTTTGTTACCGTGGGAACAAGGTCCACATTACTTTGGGAAAAAAACAAAAAACAAGCATTAATGGGATTCGAGATTCCCCTGCGTAGGCGCTTCCAGCTTATTTCATTAGGAAAGCCTTTCGGCGTGATGGGCGAGTGAAATGTGTCAAGTGACCCTGCGAAAATATAGTTGAGGGTCGGCATTTTTTTTCTGGTAATTTGAACTTCGTAAGTCGAATAACTTCACAATGCGTGCTGTTATCATTGCCATTTTTGCTGCATCAGTCTGTCTCTACTTCAGTCTAAACAACCCACGAAAAAGACATAGAAAGTTGAATAGTGTTGGAGGGCCCCTTTAAGTTCTTCACATCAACTGTTATTGCTGTCTCTGCTGATCTCAAACATAGCTTTAGCCTTCCACTTCCTACTATAGCCAAATGAGCACCTCGGGCTTGAAAAGGCTGGCTCCACTGGCCTTGGAAGATGACAGCTTGCTGCTGGAGCCATCTGCTGGTGCAGCAGTTGACTCGGGAATCAAACTCTCCTCCTCTGGCGCTTTCGTGAGCAGGCCCTCTTCAGTGCCACCTCCTGCACAGTGAATATGTTATTGGTCCCCATATGACAATATTCTCATTATAATCCTATAGTATTCTGTCCATCAAATAGTGTTTTTACAGCGAAAGCTGTTATGAAACCACAATAGCAGTGGTAGTGGCTAGCTGTTCGCCACTGCCACTATCGGTGTCCATAACCACTATCGTGCTGTAGGCTTATGCCACAGGAGCGAAGGAAAGAGACGTCTGAATGACAACCGACGCCAGCAGGAGACATGAGTCCTTAGCTTCAAGTGCCATGACCAAGCGCCGTCCTTACTTTCTTTTTTTTGCAGTCGCGGGCTGTCCGTTTTGCACACCATCCAAGCAAGCGGGCTACAAGGCCCCCGGTGTAGACTGGAAGTCGAAATCTGACATGTTTTGGGTAGTCCAACGGAAGATCAGGCATATATGAGAGGTTTTCTATGGCAGTCTTCAGGTACGCCGTCTTAAAGAGGCGTACCTTAAAGAGGTCCTGAAACCCTTTTTTTTAATAACCATGGAATTAATTCACTGAGAAAGAGTATTACCTCATAAATTGAATGCAGCAAAAATTTTAAGAATCCGTCCAGTACGAGCAAAGTTACCAAGATTTGTCACATGCTGCCATTACAATCTCTTTTCTCTCGCCCCGACAAAAGCGCTGGAAGCTGAGCAGGGAGGGATGGGAGGGGGCAAACAAAAAACGTCACTTGGGTCTCATGACTTCGAGCATTTTCTTTTTCTTTTGGATACTCAACTTTTTAGTGGGATTGCGCACGCACGCATGGACAAGTGACAGCCTCTCGCGGCGACCTTTGTAACGACCGAGGGCGCCATGTTCAAACAAACTAATGGCTGATAGATGGGCTTACGGGGCTTTTTTGTCGAGAAAAAATAAAGCTATTTTTAGCTGACTTTGATCATTTATTGTGAATTCCAGGCCGCGTGCTGCACTATATTATTTGGCTCAAGTGTTGTTGGGAGCCTCTACTACCTATCGACAGCGTTTTCTGACCATGCTCAAAAAGTTCTGTAGGGCCCCTTTAAGTCACTTCAAGCTGTCTCTTCGCGGTCGTTTTGTAGAAGAGTGGCAGTTTTTTCGATGCGGTTGAGGACGTGGAATGGTCTGTCATAGACTGGCATTAAAGGCGGTTTAACCGTGTCATGGCGCTCCAAAACGTGTGTCAAACTGGTCAGATGAGACTGTACAAATATTGCCTTGTGATCGGAAGGTCAGGTTGGGGTGGGCCGAAGGTTTTGTACGCAGTCCAGAAGGCATTGCAGGAATTCTTATGGCTGAGCTGGTAGCTGCATTGTCTCCAGGGAGCCGCAGAAAACTTCCATGCACCAGCTCTGCTGCTGAGTACTGTAGATGCACTACGGTACTCAGCAGCAGAGCAAAAAAAATGCATTACGTTCTATTGAAAATGCCGAATGTAATGCACATACCTTGTCTTTATTCAACAATTTCAGAGTCGTAAGATTTGACAACACGTATGAATATTGTTTACTAGCGTCTTTGAAAACTGAAATTAAAAAAGAAAGTAACAATCTTATCTCCATAGCATGCTTAGAGCACAGCACCTTGTCTCTATCTACAAGACAGAGTGATTATTCAAAGGTTCCTCGATGCCCAACAAACTATGGTCTACAAATGCTGAAACATTCACTCCCACAGATACTAAATAAATTCAATTTTTCATTGGAGCAATTGCGCCTTCTTTCGCGACAAAATATGTCGAATATTTTTTTACCTTCATGACGCAAGAGAGATTTAGGCAGTTCCAGAGATTTGTTTTTCATGTTCTGCTTATTTCTATTTTTTCGTATTTCCTCAAAGAGTGCGATCCTATTAACATATCTTAAAATTTTATGTATGCAATATTTCTTATTGGTGCCACTTTAAACTATGTATTTGTGTCCGTTTAGTTGTTTCAAGGACTTTATGAATGCCGTCACTTTTTCTGCTTTGCATTGATGGGATGTGGGGCTAGTCAAGCTGCGTTTTTTATCGCAGCTTTTTTCCCGCATTCCACACCACACATTGTATGGTGTAACACTGTGGTGAAATGAACTTCAAACTTCACTCTGATGACAGCCCGTAAACCTAATAGCACCAGTGGCAAGCAGTACTGCGGAGTTATCACTCCGGAATCACAATAAGTCCGGAATCATTCAACATTTTCACAACCCCAGAATGGAATAGGAATGGCGACAAATCTTGAAGGAATAAAATGGGAATGGAATGAAGCGCATTTTCCACGGAATGAAAAATGAAATTACGCCTTTTTTTTTAAATTGAGCCCATTTTCGTTAATGTGTTGTTTTTCAAACATTGAATATTGGCTGCCAGTATCGTATACTGTAGCAGCCGTTAGGCTATTTATGCTCATACTTTGGAATAACATGCTGTGTAGTGGTTAGCAGCCATATAATTTCGAAAAATAATGGACGTATTGTACGCATTATTGTCTGCCCTTTTATATATGTGTATCATGTCTTAGAACAAAATTTTTATTCCAAAGTAATCAACAAAATTAAGATTGGTCTAAATTTTTTCTTAGGAGTGTCGGGATTACTTCAAGATATATGGTGGAATTTACGAGAGATCTTGACATATGTGGCTAGGTAGTTACCTAGTTAAAAAAACCAAAAAACCATTCCTGGTTAGTAACGACAAAAGTTTCCAGCTTTACCAGCTAATGGCTATATAGTAAAGAGATGCCACGAAGGTTGTAAAATACGCTCAAAACAAATAAATGCATACGTTACCAACTGTTTGTTAACTTTCTTTTTTGAAGATTGTGCTGACCATGCAAATACCATAGGTAGCGGGAGAACTGTCTCAATAGGAACTAGTAGTGTGGTTGTACTGCACGAGATGAGTCACCAAGGTACTATCCCTCGACCATAGTAATGTGTTTTGCGTATTTTTTTTCAATTCTCATGCATCTGATGACATCAGCTTTATGTTGTTACGCTCATTTTTATCTCGATAAATCTATCAAGATATGCCTTTCCTACGCTGAGGAATTACAGGAATCGAATCAACCTGACTGACAATTCCTGAAGGGGGAATGGGCTAAGCTTTTTCCATTCCGAGGAATTTTTTCATGAAAAAAATGGAAGCACAGCAAGTTGCATTTCCGCAGAGTTTAATCAGCATGGAATGCAGGTGCACATTTCGCAACACTGGTGGCAAGGCATCAATTCAGGGGAGCTATTCTCGCGGTGTCCTACTCGTGGACATGTCCAATTTGCTGGAGCGAGTTATGTTACGAAAAGAAACGATGAGTCAAGACGTCATGGCGGGCTCCACGGTGGCACACCGATCCGGCCAGCACATTCCTAGTGCAAAAAGAAACTATGTGGACGAAATGTGGAGTAACAGGACTTTTAAAACAAACTTGACAGCTCCGCACGCGCGTATGAACATGTTGAGATGTTTGAGGAGCGATGCAAGCAACGCGTACAGACGTTTCAGGGGCATCAGGCGGGCGGCCGCTTTTCAGGACTAACGTGATTAGAGTCCATGCACAGCCTCAGAGATGTGCGTCTAAATTTGAATCTCTGGGGGCAGCATTCGTTGTGGCGAAACGCATTCCGTCTTTCTCACTTGCGTTGAGAGTTGTAAAAGCTGCATGACGTCAAAATTACGTTGCAGAAGAAAGACCGGAAACGGGTGGTGCATTCCAGTTAATCAAAGGAGGCCAAATTGGACATGTCCCTGAATTGGACACCGTGAGAATAGCTCCCTACGTGGCTCTATTGAGGTGGGTAATCTGGACCGTCTTCTGTTGATAGCGAAGGTGTTTAACCGTGTCGTTGGCACACGCAGGATATGCAATGGTACGGTAATGCCTGTCTCCAAGGCTGCAATTAAGGCAAGTGAACAGCGTGGACTTGAACTGACGTCTGCGGTCTACTGTCACGATGCCAGGACAGCCAACTTGAACGAGATGAAACGAGAAATGAAAGCGCAAGTAACTGTCTCAGTGGTTATACCTTAAGTGGAAACAGCCTCAGGCCAGCGTGTGACACGATCAACCATGATGAGTATATAACAGTACCTCTGAGACACTGGTAGAGTGCTTAAAATGTCTAGATGTACAGTCCTGGTGAAAATTTCCCAAGCCACGCTTCTATAGAAATACATGGGATACCTTGAAACTTTTCATACATGGTCAAAACAACGGCCGGGCGAAACAAAAGTATGGGGAGACCTTCGTCATCTGGCAGGGCAGGCACATGTGCGTCCAAGCATGTACATCACTGTTGATTTCAAGTCAGACATAACGCTGGGTGAGAAGACGCTGAGTAGCCTAAATGCTGGGGTGATAGATGCCGTGTAAGGCGTGGAAAACGATGGGACGTAATGAAGTGGGAACAAAAGAGCGGGGATTTCAGCTCTGACATCGCACTATAACAATAATGAATTTGCCACCTGGTGCAGTGGGAGAGAATGAGGGTTCTCCCGAAAAGTGGTCAGCTCTTCATTATTCTGCTACACGGTGGAGAATGAGGCCCAGACGATGGCTGGAGACGAAGAGTCAACCACGGTTACAAGTGTTGTCAATGCCTTTCATGTAGCAGATATTGGTCATGAATCCGAGATATCAGCATGATGGCAGAGTTTCCTGGGAACGTACTTGAATGAGTTCACACGAAAAACACATGCCAGCAGCTTATCATCACTCAGCACGGAAAATGAGCATCCTTCCAGAAAATTGTGCAAGTGTTGTATTGCAGTGTAGATGGCTAGTAACTCTCAGCTGACGATACTGTAGCGGGTCTCAGCAGGAAGTAGTTTCCGAAAGACAAAGGTCTCCACTCAGAGTAAATGCACTACTGAAAGATGGCTCCGATGGCCACGCTAGATGCGTCAACCAAGTTGTTGCGCGGGTGAATAAGAAGCATAGCGTTTGTGAGGACTTGCTTGGTGGCAGTAAAGGCAGCTTGGGCTTCTGACGACCAAGAAATGGCAGAGGACAGGCAGGCGGTAGACTGAAGGTC